TGCTTTTACTGTGCAGCGTAAAAGAAGTATGTCTATAATAGTTCCTTTTAAATTTGAAGATGTAGAAAATTTATATACCGAAGCTTACCTTCATTTGACACGATTTGTACAGAATCATTGGCTCAAAATATTCATTTAAATGTTCATTTTTTTAAATACTTTGTATTTAAGGACTTTTTTGAACATTTTATGACAGTAAAAGGTTCGCCGATTGGATTTTAACTGGGGATATATTGATTTTTACATTTAGTAGACATAAACCTTGCTGTGGTTATAGCCGCAAATGATTGATGAATCACAAGATTGTTAAATCTAAAATTATTTCCGCTATGAAGATATATCTCCCTGATATGAGACATTAACAAATTATTTGTTTACATTTATTTTTTCAAATCCTGGTCATAAAGTCTTTCTGTCCCTACAGTACATCATTGAATGAGTAAGGTCTACTTGTGTATTATTTTTCAAAATGGTGCAGTTACAAAAAATCATTAAAAAAAAAAAAAAAAAAATAACTTGTTCATTTTGCAGTAAAAAAAAAAGAAAAAGTTCTAAATTAATAAAATTTGGAATGAAAATAATCTCATATAAAGATAGTTGATTGAATGATTGAAATAAATTTAATTTTCTCAAACCAAATGTAAAAAAATAAATTTTTCTTTTGGATCAATTACTAGAGATTTGTTGAATGTGACTTTTAGGAAGTTTATCTCCCATTTACCGTCTGGTTAGCATTTGGGAGGGGAAACGTTCTCAGGCCACACCCCTCTTCCTGTCCGTCAATCACGTGTCACCGCCAAGCATGTATCCAATGGCTAATCTGAGTTCTTTGCTGTGACTTAGTTTAATTCAGCTGTTTTAAGTCAGCAAGGCCGATATCAGTCACTCCTATACCAGGATATGATCAATCAGTGGATTTGTCCCTCGTGTGTTCTTTGCCATCATCAAGAAATTTCAGTCAATCTTATCTTGGGCTAGATTTAATTAGATATTGCAATATCGTTTTTGATGGCCTGTTGTTTGTTTTCCCGATTGTTTTCCCAATTTCGATGATTTCATAAGTTAAAACAAACAACAAAAATTTGAAAATTAAGATGGATTGTCTTAATTGAATGGTTTTTATTTAAAATTTGTGAAACAGATGACTAGGTCTATTAATATTTGAAAATTATTATATTATTTCAGATACTTGCTGATTTAAAGATTTATTATAAGTTTTATTTATCCACATATGGATATGGTGTGACATTGTCATGCTCATATATGGATGAGATACGACATCGTGTAGGCAATATACATTTATTGATTTTTTTCTTTATGATGTAGGCATTTTCACTGATTTTCAAAGTGGTGCAGTTTCAACAACAAAAATATATATACAATATGTAGAATTGTTGAAATAATAATTAAAAAAAATAAATATATACGTACACATATAAACCAAGCAAGAGAAGAGTCAATAAAATAAATTTATGTAATAATATTGTTTTGGAATGAATGATTTGACATAATTTGAAAGTTAATTTTTAATTCATTAGGTAGTTCATTCCACATTTTTGTTGACTTGTAAAGAAAAGTCCTTTTCCTTGATCATTTTTCTAAGTTGGGATAACTAGATTGTTATTGTTTGTCTATGTGTTACTTTAGTATGGGTACTATTGTTGAAGATAAATTTTGATGTCAGTGAGGAGCAAAACCTTTTAAACATTTAAAGATCATGATTGAGATATGACATCATTGTTAATTATATTTGTCTCAGAAAATGTAGTAGTGAAAACAGAACTAAATTATATACTGCCATACTCCCCACAAATAGCAAAATTCTCAGAGGGAAATAAAAAATGTTTTCAATATCATTTTACTACATAGATCCTCTAGTTTTTTCTGCTGGAAAGAAAAGGGTATAGGCCTACACATAAAAAATGTGATTTCTTAAATTCAATTGGAGGACCAAAACTTGGTAAAGGTCTCAGTATATAGTTGCTGTCGATTTAAAAAGTAAAAGAATCATAATCTAAATATGTGAACTTTTTAGTGGCACTTTATTAATTCCATTATTTAAATGTCTTCCTTATTTTCATGTAAAAACCTTTTAATTTTGATACTTTTATCTTGAATTACAAATAAAATGCTTGGCAAATAATAAAAACATGTACTCTTATAAATGATATCAATCACTTGGGAATCAATGTTTACCGCTTATAGTTATTTTTTGCATTCAAAACTCTGCAATGTGTCACAGAGCCTCATCTGCCCTGTCTTGCCCTCGTTAAGTATCACACTTTAATAATCATTAATTATTATCAAATTAATTTTCACGCTTGGTTTTCCTGTCTACTCTGTACCATTTGAAAAACAACAGGTGATATTTTTCTAACATGAATTTTTCTGCACAATTTACCTAAAACTGTATTTCTTTGAAAGTTGAGAACTATTTTATTCCATTTACATTTTAAAAAAAATTTTAAATTGATTTTTAGTTAACTTGTACTTTTTTACTTTAGAAATAGCTAATGTATGTCAGTGTTATTTTTATAATTAATGAATGTTTATATTGCTAATAATTCATTGGATGAAATTATAATTGTTGTTCAGTTTTGACTGGAGCCTTATTCTCTTTTTTTCCCTTTATTTTTTAAGTTAGCTTACATCATTATTATCTAATCGTTATCAAATCAGCCGTGGATCCATTGGGGCATGGGGGTGCGTTCCCCCTCGTTTCGAGACTAAATTTTAAAATTTCAATGCATATTAATATTATATATTGAAATAAGCGCTGCTCACTTATCTATTCTGAATGTTGTACTGAAACCCCGTTCGGAAAATTCTGGATCCGCCTCTGATAATTGTTATCATTATCTTCTTTCTTATTATAGCAGCATCCTCATCGTCATTATTATCATCATTGTCTTGTTTGTAAATCGAGAGGAAATTACATTGTAATTAAGATTATATTTAAGTGACAGTTATCATTTGAGTATTTGTAAGTTTTCTCTAGGTATTTACTGTTTTCGTTGATTAAAATAATTATGGTATTAATTGTGATATTTATTTCAATTATTATCATAATCATTGTAATCAATGAATATCAAATCAACCAAAAAATAATTGTCACATAAGAATTGATAATTACGTTGTAATTTGCTACAAAATAATATCTATTTTAGAAGTTTCATTTTTGTTATATTTTTTTAAATAGTTGACCTTATCATATTTAATGTGTCCCATTTTTTTTCTTATCATGTCTTTCTGTTTTTCATGTTGAGTAATTTTAATTTGGATTAATTGCAAACTTTTCAAATTTTTGTCTTGCTCAATAGTTAAACGTCTTTTTTTCGTTTGCATCTTCTTAGCACTCTGTTTTGTCAGGTGCAGTAATTTGATAAAAATATTTAACAAATTTCTCTATCGGTTTTTGTCTGTTGCATTTCCGCCGTGACAATCTCATAATTTTCACCTACAGGGCCAAAAAATTAGTTTGAATTTATGTCGTATCAAGTATGTACGAAAAACTTGACTTTGACACGAGAAGATGAGTAAAAAAAGGAAACAAATTTTCATGTAATTGCCACCGGCAGTTGCATGTTTTCACAAGTTGTTTAAGAAACTGTAACATAACACATAAGCTTACGGTTTTGACAAGCACACCAAGGATAGACGTGCGGAGTGGTCGTTTTTCTTTGGACAAATTGGAATCCCGCAGTAGGTAAATGGGGTTAATTGTAACTGTAGAGAAAGCACAGTTTGCTAGAGCAATTGCGAGATAAGGAGGACTATTTGCACAGCTAGGAAGAGCAGGAGGTGTCATAGCCTCGGGGCTTAATCTGGCTCACCCGTGATGCGACTGCTTCGACTACCATTTAGGTTCATTTTAGGTCATTGTAGAGTAAATTAATTAAGAACGGTGGGTTTCGACAAGGACATTATTTGTTTATCATCTGTGCCTAGGTTGGTGAGGCATATTACAGACTAAATAGCCTGTAGGTGTTACCACTTCGGTGCATGGAAATTTGTTACCGAATCATGTCCAATTTACACCAAAATACAGACCCAAACTTTTAAATAAACTCCTCTTGGTTTGATTTATGTGAAGATATCATATTAAAAATGGTTTCAAGAATAATAATGCAAAAATATGATCCCATTGCATTATTTATATTTTCTTTGGAGAACTTTTAACATGAAAAAAACTAAAGAAATAACCAATTAAAAGTTTATAATCTGTAACCGTTTTTGTTTTCTGGTTGTTATAGAGATAATGAGGTTGAAAATGATATAGTTCTCAGATGGATATAGCCAATATCATCTTCAGTTCGGTAATAGATACTGGGTGTTATTAGTCTAAGCATCCTTGGCATTAGAAGTCCAATGTGACAATCAGCATGGTGACACCAAAATACATTTTAATTTTAGTTTTCTTGCGATATAAAATGTAAACATCCAGTTATAGCCAATCTGTGATTGACTTGAATGCATCATTCACACCTGTGTTGACCAATAGATTATTCTGTTGGTGTGAAAGCGTGAGAAGCTATTTTAACGTTTTGGTTATATCACCGCTTTGAGGAATGACTCCCCGCCGTGTTGATGCTATATCGTTGTCTTTTCTTGACGCCAGTGTTTGGGCGACACTCATGGGAACCTTGCCTGCAGGCATGTCTTAGTTTGGTGCTTTTCATGTCTGTTGACATCTATTGCTAAATCGATAGATAGATGACAATGACAGAAATCAAATTACTTTATTCTTGGGATAAGAACATGACCAATTGCAATGTGATATAAA